GTTAAAAATCAGCGTTACACCCTACAATAGAAACCTTTGGAAATTAACTACACTTTGGAACTAGTAGCCTCACCTATGTGCCTCCAATAAAGGGCAACTTCATTTATTTTAATCTTATACGACCATGGTCCAAACCGGAATAGACCATCTAGATGATTTCAGCGCTGTAGGGACCCTTGACATATATATTCAGTTAGACATCTCATAGGCAATTGTATGCCGACGAAACCTGCTAGACACATGCTACAGCACAATTATCTCATACTGATGTTTCACTTATTAATCTGTTATAATAGTACTTGTTGTACTTACCAATAACTACCCCTAGTACACAATAGCTTTTAGAAAAAAATGTGTACTTTAGCATACGACAGAATAAATCAATCCCTCATTCTGTATTTTTTAAATAAAAGCATCTGCACCGAACGACCTGTCATGAGTCTTGTCATCGCAACAAGCTTCGGTGGTGTTACGTAAATTACCGTGATGCCACACCTTACTTACAGTTTAATAAAAGTGTATGGAGAATATGAGAGGCTCTTACCCAACTATAGTCTACTTACCGGAGTTAAGCTGATTCCTACAGAGTAGCATGCAATATATTATTCTTTTCGATATAAACGTCGGCTTCAAGCTTAACTCAAGTACTATGATGATTAAAATCTGTTTAGACAATTGAACAAAAAAAAAAAAAGTAGTATTTTTGGCTCATCTGAAGTTTCTAAGTTAGGCGCGTGTGTAGTTGGACATAAAGTATGACTATAAGACGTTGTTTTGCCTGGCAAGTAAATATAGTCGGTGATCAGTTTGAAATGATACAAACAAGTGATATCCTAATCTCCACAATTTCTTTAACCTATTCAATCTTAGCTTTACCAGCCTGATGATCCGTTTTAAATTTTACTTAGGTTTATAAAAATGTGTTTCATTGGGGCTTGATAAACGAATATATCCTTTTGGTGAGTACATAAAGCTTGAAGAAAAATTTAAATGTTTAATCTACCAACCGATTAGGTAGGAAAACGTTGCGAAGATCTTTGCTTTAATTCCGTATTCATATTCGCAAAATTATCATAGAGTTATATTGTGTTCAAAGCACCATACACGTACCCAAGCAGAATAAGTTGACTTATTCTAATTAGCTGAGTGATGCAGGTAAAAAAAATCTGCCCTAGGAGCCAGCTGGTGGGTGAAAACCTGAATCATTTAGGTAAAGAAAAAAGCTCCTACATTGTTCAATAGACACCATTAAACTTCCCATTTCATATTAAGTTTCCTCACAAAGAGTTTCGATTAAGTTGGTGATAGTGTTCATCTTTTAAAGTATAACTAACTTATTACGTCAAAACAAAAACGTAGAATATCAGGCTACCTCTCTTGACTTGTAGAAAACTCCGTAGTTTACTTCCGTGCAAACGTTTAAAGAACTACTTTTACTTCGATATACATTAACTACTAGCCATTTATAGAAAGAACGATGTATACCGCATAAAGAAAGGACTCGCTAAAAATGATTCCCGTTTACTACGAAATGTGGAAGCTCTTAGAACTATTCACGGATAACACACACAGATCTGAACAGATAGAAGATCAAGATTTATTGAAAAACCCAATAGACTCTCATTTTCGCTAAAGGGGAGCTTTCTTTGCATTCAAATGTAGCAGATAGTAGCAACCTGCTAACATTGTCGCGTCCATCAGTCAGTTCGTGCAAAGCGCTTAGTTGAAAACCGTTGCTTGTGTTCCTCTTCTGAATTGTTCCAGGTTTTTTTTACTCTAAGTTCTGTTGATTGACCACTGCCCGATTAATCGACCAGATGTTTTTGTCACTTCCTTAGTTTCACACAAAAACCGTGAAGAAACAGCAAATTCAACTGCCAGTCTGAGCGAAGTACATCGTCGAATTCGTAATTAGTTGTTTGAAAGTAGCTCAAGCGTTTTAAATTGTTATTGTACGTTGTTCTCAGCCACGTTACTGTGAATTACTTAGAGATAGTTGTGTAAATGAAGATATACTTTTTGTGTAAAATCAAAATCTCCCATGTTTCAGAAATGGAGCCACGAGCGCTATGAAATGGATTCTTCATAACTTTACATACAGCAAACTCAAACGAAAAACAGAACTGTTTTTATATTGTAGTATGTAGAAAGTTACTGTCTTACCGAGGATCAATGCTTACGAAGCGTATGCACCATCACGAAGATAACAGGACAATAAGAGACGCTAAATCTAAGACGGGTTACGCTTAATATGTCGGGAACAATTAATAACAGGAAAAGTACAAGCACACATTCAAACATGTTCTAAATGGAGATTATTTGCGTAAGTTATCTCCAATAATGGATGCTCTTATTACAGTAAAGCAGTGTCCTAATTGCATATGCCTAGGCAAGGATGAAGACCTTCATTGCCATGATAGTAACACAGCGCGCCCAGTCATTTTTTTCATCATCAGTTTTACGTTACGTTTACCATCTAACGTATATTGGACCTCAGCTAATCGGCATGATTGCCTCCAAATCAAAAAATGGAATGGAACTATCTTTTCCCAATTATCAATGAAGCAAAAAACAAGTGACAGTCTGTGTTCAACTGACGTTCGACAGTATTGTCTTTTAAACTCGTTAAAAAAGACACTGAATAGCTCGTCTGTGCAGATGTGCTACACCTAGTTACGGCCTCGGGACGAACCTTGCATTTAATGCCGCTGCAGTCATTGACAGTTATTGAATAGTTTCCATAAATTAAATCATGATATGTGCTTAACACGATGTAACGCGATGGTCTATCTTGTAGCTGGTTTTCATGTGGCTTGTGAAAATTGCAAGGCAAACCAGAAGATCCTGAGATTTAAAAAGCTATTGATCAAAATGGCCCAAAAAACTGTTTTTGATACACTTAGATTTTTTATTACGGGCTTTATCAACGGGCTATAACGGCAATCATTGCTAATGAAGTTGTTTAGATGTTAGACTTCTCACTTAAGACGTTTTGCGCCCTTTTCTGCTTGTCGAACTTCTTGGCCGTTTTTAAGCTTTTGCATTTGTAGTAGTACTTTTGGTCGACTATCAGCTCAAAATTAATTTTCGCTGCAGTTTTTTAAAACAGAGGTACAGTTAAAACATAATTTGCAGATCGTCGTATTTTTAAAATTTCTTGTTAGTGGCTTGAACTGAAGCTGTGATCTCGGAAAATGATAGTTATTTAAATACGTATAACTATCAGGAATGCCGCTTCTAGCGCGCAAAAAACACTGAAGTATATTTTCCTTTCGCTTAAATATAGCTTAAACATAACCCATAGTGAAAAGTACGTTGTTAGATATCCGACCCTTTAAATATATATAAAGAAGAGCAAGGTACCGGAGCGGTCTGAGATGAGTCCTTTAGGCTGTTCGCGGTCTAACGATTCCGGGTTGTTTAAATAAAAAAATAAATAAATACTTGTGTTGTACACCATCGAGTTTCCAGCGACCGCTAAGCAGGAAACAGACGAAACAGGAATGTCGCTGGAATATAGTTTAATACAATGCTCAACTTAAAAAAAATCATTGTGATAAACTATTATACTTATATATCAGAAATACCATATATGCTGATAGTGTCTCTCTGCTTCATTTGATCATCATGCACTCCTTCGGTACTAATATGAGCCCTGTACTATAAAAGATTAGTAATATTGAATAGAAAACCCTTTCGTAGTAAACGAACAAATTTGAAGACATGTAATAGGAAGATATTTTTACAAACATTAAATACACTCCAAGAGGTGCATAGCCAAAAGGGCAGCCAATGACAAGATTGCCATTATGCTACCGACCAAAGGATACGTATTTTGCTGTGACCACTGACTCATCGGCTGGCTAAAGAAAAAAACACCTGGCCACTTTGACGGTAACAAATTGTCGCTGCCAACCGCCTTATAGAATCCTTTCGGTGCGATCTCAAATGCAAAATTAATTTAGTCGAGTCACTCAGCACCGGAAGATTAACACCGAGACATTTGGACAGATCTAAAGGAGCAGTGCCTTCGTCGGCCCTGGCAAGGACGAGCTGGGCCTCTAAGAAGAGACCTCGCAAAAATGTGCCATTGGTCGGTGCGACGTCAGCTATAGGTAAAGGTGCTGCGACTGCACTTCTCTGATTATCGTGCAAGACGAGTCTGTTAATCGACCCAATGCTGACTAGAAAGAAACGCATGAACGTATACAACATTGATTCCAGGACCAGCTTAGCAGTAGGTGAAGGCTGTAACAATTAAAGTAGAACAAAGAACGCAGTAGCTGGGTCATACCTGTGTCCATCGTTGCGGACTCCATATGATCGTCATCTGGGTCCTTGTACGGCAGGTCTGGATCGACCAACTTTCCGGCTGATTTTTGGTTTGTTATCGGAGCAATGAGACAGTGGCGAATTTTTATTGGAGTTCTTCTCGGATTAACTGCTGGGATAAATGTGTCATAGCACTCATATTGTTTCAAGCGTTTCCGTAACTGGAGTCGAATTGTTACTGACAGGTGTTGTTGCGGGTTTCAGCACAATCCCAATGGATGTATTTGACCCTCAACATCGCACTTGACAACGGCGACCAGCTTGTTTCGAGTTCAGTCGAGTGCTTAAAACTTCGCAACTTGTGGCTTTCTCTTAGAGAACTTCTGAGTCGAGCGAGATTGTTAGACACTGCATGTTATCACAATTGTACAATAAATAAAAAAGATAATGCTCCTAACATACATACGTATATACGCTCTACCCTATATATATGGAATGCGTTCCTTCGGTCTATACTCGTGACATTCGGCCTGCTTCGTCATATTATTATGGTTATCGCCAATGAACATCAATAACGTGTGAGCTCACCTTTCTTTTATATATTAATCCCAAAAGAAAGCATCAGCTTATTCGAATTAAGACGAATGTAAAAATTGACAAACTATTGAGTCATTCAAACAAAATAAGCCAATGTAATCTTGTTGAGCTTGCTTGTTTTGCTTTTGTAGACTTCGTATTCTCTTCGCGGATTTCAACGAATTCAACGAGTTGCCAGCAGAGTTGGGCTGTCTCCACGATCTCCAATTGCTCTCCCTTAAGGGCAATCGGTTACGTTCCCTACCGCGTGAGCTCTGCCATCTCGCACATCTACTGAAACTCTCACTATCAGCCAACCGGTTGGTGACATCACCTGAGGCCCTCTTTCCCATGTGGACACATTTACAGCATCTCGATTTGCGGAAGAATTTACTAAACGGTGCCATTTGCTTCAATGCCATTCCCGTTAGTATGTTCATGATACCACAAAGGATATTTACATCTTTTTAGCTCGAACTTTATTCGAACAAAACGCCCATGTCTTTGAAATTCATCAGGCAAAAGTGAAGCTTTACCTCATTAATTCACCGTATCCACATATTAATCGCGTGTAATGATAATGAATTGTGTAGATATAGCGCGCAGATCGTGGGCTTAGGGATAAGACAAGTTTGTAGCTATTAAACTTCCGGACACACATGATAACCATACTATTTTTATATTGTTTCAAATGTTTTCAGACTCTACGATATCTGGAGATATCGGAAAATCGATTGAATGAAGTTCAATTAGACAACTTACACGAACTCGAATATATTGATTGCAGTCACAATCACCTCAATGTGTTTCACCTTACTAGTCAACGCATCGTTCATCTCAACGTCTCTCATAATAGTAATCATATAGTTTCAACAAGCCCGACCTATCTTCCAATAGTCTATCTTATAGCATGACATTTAGCTCTACGTACGAAAATATTACGGTGGACTTCTGTATCCAGCAAATCAAAAGTCTCAAGAGCTCCATTACGTTGACAGTCTATCCGGTTATTTGGGAGAAATGCGTCTTTAGAGCGCTCATATTGTAAAAAAATTGCGTAATTCCTATGGGTTTAGGTCGTCTTCGCCCTTTGAGCCCCTTTAAACTAAAAACACAGGACAAATTGCGTTATGAGTTTTGCAGGATTTATTCTGCTCATTTTATCATAAAGCTTCTCAGATTGTAAAGACACTAAGATAGTTACAGCACTATCAGCTGGGATCGTTTTTTTGTCATTTGAAAATATTTTGTTATCTGAGCATTATCATAACTTAAATAATGCAAAATATGAAATATCTTCGTACGTTAGATGTGCAAGAGGAACTTAGGAAGTTTGCGATAGACAAATTATTTTAGCATGAGATAAAGAAACTTTTTGTACATGCTGCGCGTGTCCATAAATTGAAAGCATGGCTTTTCGGCTCGTCTGTATAGTATAATCGTGATGCGGATTTGTATGCATTTCACGTCTTTCGGGTTTCTAAAGGAAATAATGCTTATTTTTCCACTCGTTTAGATATAGCAGTCATCGATTATACTACCACTATCGGAACGTTTCGGGCTTTACGTTTAGAACGCCAAGTTAGCACAAGAGCTTTTTTCTAGACAATATTATTTGTGTGAAGGTCATCATCCAGGACGACATTTTGCAGCTGTTTCTGCCAGAAGAGAGAGGTCTTGTGTCTCATCAGACAGCCGATCTAGCATGCGTTACAATGAAAGACGAAACATTTTACCTTTTATTAGTAAGAAAATTATTTATACGGTACAAATATATTCAGTTCCTATTGGCGGCGTATTTGGCTGGTTAGTAGAGCGATAGAATTAGCACTGATGATTGTTGAAATAAAGGCAGGAAGCTTAAGCTTGCCGCCTAAAAGGGTCTTCACATGAACTTCTAATCAATATTTGCAAATTCAGCCAAAACGAACAGCTCGGATTTTGTCATAATTTTTTTTCACAAAAAAAAAACGTAATAAAACAAAGTAAACTTTCTTTAATTTAAGTCAAACTTCTCTCGGGAACGCTTCGTTTGTAGAAGGAAATAGGTTGATCTAATATTCTAGATTGAGATTCTAAAGCTACCAGATGTCGAGACTAATTCGAATATATTTTTGTAAGGTATAGAGTTTTATAAAATAAGTTCGATGATATTTAGAGTGGTTAAACACGATAAATTACTAAAGAACTTTGCTGTGACTGCATACATTGTTCACTCCAATTATAGGTAAGTTTAACAATATATAATATAGGCAAACTTTTGAAGTCAAAATCAGATAAGCACCCAGGACTATTCCACGCATACGTACTAAATGATATGTTGTTTTTTTTTTAATGATTTTTCAGAGCTGTCAAGCATCACTGCATCCATAAACGTATCAACGCTTGAATTCCTAGATGCATCTAAGTACGATTCTGCTGTATTTTTTCAGATTGTATGAAGAAATTTACCAATTAGAAGATATATATATATATATATATATATTTTGTTTTTGTCAAAGAAAGATTCATATTGTTAAAGAAAGATATGTTCTACATTTTCACGATGTACAAATATGATGATCTACATCTGTTCTTCGATACCAGTTGACATACGTAAGTGGCTGTATAATTGACTATTCAGAAATTGCTAACATATACATAAAAAGGGTATCCGATGTAGTAGGCTTTGTAGACGATGCAACTGCCCGTATAGAGAAAAAAGTCGAATATTTGCCTATGTTGCTATAATAAGCTTGTTCGGTGATTTAGCTAAGGACTATTAGAGAATCTGACCTACATCAGAACGCAAAGCGTGAACCAATTTGCGGGTCTTCATTATGCCTGCCTTTCCCTCTCACGTTTTCGACAATAGAGTCAACCATCTGTATGTCTAGGTAAAATATTCCCCATCATGAAATGACCACGAACAATCACCCCTTCCCCTCATAAGCGTATCTGTGCCTGTGTGACTCTACGTAGGCTTCATTTGCTTTTGTTTCCTTCCATACTCCACTTATAGCGTCCCATTTTACTTACATCTGGTTTCTTTTGTTAGGTTTTCATAATAAGCCAGACGAGGTTCAGGTGTTTAAAACGCTATAAAATTGCGTAGCATTGTACGTGACTGAGCTAAGCCTTAATGACGCCTAGGTTAGCGAGAATGGGTTTTGTCATTAGTTTTGACAGCGTTTTCTTTGCTAATATATGTAAATAAGAAGAATATCACAGTATAATTTTATCATCACTTGTGCAATCGGACATTTTATTTCTCGGTATTCTGTGCTTTCAGCAACGAGCTATGCCACTGCCCGGAATGGATTTGTCAGAACGATCAATTGAGCTATCTGGATCTGAGTCATAATCTCATCAGCCAAATACACAATAAGTATGCTTTGACGTTCAATCAGTGCACCAAGATACCACTTTGAAGTCGGGTATTTATGTACGATTTACGCCCCCTATTCGGAATATATTCGAAATTAATTTCCAGTTATGCCGAAGACATTACTCCCTTTAATTTGCTTGTCTAGTAATTCATTGGTGAGAGCAAACACACCGAAGTGCGCTTTAACTGCTTTCAGTTACTGATCTGGTTTTTTCAACGAAATTCCTAAGTGTACGTTGTCCTGCAGGTGCGCAGCCAGGATACGGTGAACTAATGAACCTCTTTATAATTGAACGTAGAGCTAAATTAGTGCGTCACAATTAATAAATATGAGACAGAAACTATTAACATGACACTGAGTGCATACTAAATAAACATAACGTTTCAAGTGTTTAATAAAAGAGATGACTCGTCATTTGACTGCCTCTTGCCGCATTTACCACAATCAAAATTAGAGGCAACGTGAAAAGGTGGATAGGCGACATTAAGCAGTTTCCATGGCTGATGGCTTCCGATCGTCCCTGTTACGACGAGCCTTGATAGCGTTGTTTAGCATTGTTCCAAAAGCTTATCAGGACTAAGGGACTGAATACGGGAGCAATTTTCAGGGACCGTGCAAGAGAAGCCATTGCTACATAGACTTCTTGTTGTCTCGTGGATTCCTCCTGGAGGATCAAAGTGTGCCCACTGCCAAGTTCACCAATTTTGCACGGAATGACATAATTCCAACTAACTTCTTTTACGGCAGTGCTGAATTTGCCGAAGCGACAGACAAAACCGCCCGCTGCTGCGAGCGTAGCCGGTGACCCAGCACTACGAATGCAGATTTTCGAAACAAAAATTGCAACTGTTGCTCCCAATTTGATATTTAGACAAACACATAGTAGGATAGATCATTTCGTTCATTTTAGAATAGAATGCATAGAAGTAAATGTATTACAAATGTGAGGAAAGACGAGCAGTATTCCATGGGTTAGCACTAAGCTGAAAAGACTGCTAGGAGTCACTTGTAGATATGTGAAATTGCTTTTCGATTGTATGAACCTACGTTTAAACTATGTGTTAATATGATACAATTTCATTTTCAGAATTCTCTCATTTCGGCGTCTAGACACGTTACGTTTAGGTCACAATCGCTTACGGCGTCTTGAAGTTGAACCAAGCGAACAATGCCTTCTTCGACATCTTGATATTCAGCATAATTATATTGGGCCATCTTTACCAGACGAACTCCTTTTAGAGGCGCCAAGGTTAACCTGGTTTTTTGAAAGTAAATTCATTATAGTTCAACACTAAAGGAGCTTCTGATGAGTGTCTATAACGAATAGGAAATCATTCGCATTTGTGCTCGTTACATAGATTGAAAATTCTGTGCGATTCTTCCGGCCATCAGATCTGCGCTAAGACAGAATAATCGTTTTCTGATAGAAGAAGTAGATCTCTTAACAATGAGTTACTATACAAGCCTTTCACTGTACATTACGGTACCTAGAAATAGACATAATAAAATATTTTGGACATCTTGACATTTCAGGCTCGAATGGCTTAATGCTTCGTGGAACCAACTGAAGCATCTCCCGACCATTTCAGGCTTTCAGTTGACGTTGCGGTGGCTCGTCCTTTCGCATAATGCCCTCCTCGATGATGCTTGGAGTTACATTCTTTGCTGCCCTAAGCTGAAAGTATTAAAGCTTTCTTTCAACAGATTTGAAACACTTCCCAAAGGGTAAATGCAAATTCCTTTCAGACCGGCTCAAGAGACACAGTTAATCTATGCTACATAAAGCGATGAACAGGCACAAAAAAACAATTCTAAAAGTTTTATACTCAGCTCAAATGCATATTGAATTATTAGTGAACAAAACGTCATTTGAAAGTGATTACCATAAAGTACGTCAATGTTATAAGTGTATATCTTTTTCGCTTGTAAGTCCTGCTTTCTGCGAAGTTAGAACCAGGCCTAAAGAAAAAGTGGGCGCTGGAAACAATTTAGCCTAGCTCACACGCGTATCTTCACGCAATATCGCCAACGCGTCTATATATCTTATTAGAAAACAATCTATTGGTAGATGTATTTGCTTTCGTTCACTAAAGGTACTGCGGCTTATACGTTCAACCGCTGTTTATAGGCTAAGCGACCTAACTCAGCTGCGCGACATACATCTAAGCGGTAATAACATCTTATCGTTGCCCCCCCTTGCGATGAGTGAACTAGAAACACTTCTGTTGGATTGTAATCGACTCACGGAAGTACCGCGCGTGGACTGCTGTCCCGCTCTACGCCGTCTTGATATATCTTGCAACGTACTGAGCGAAATTCCACTGCCGAACCTCATTTCACGTTCACTCGAAATATTAGATATTGCTTGCAATCAAGATCTTTTCATTGACTCGACTGAGTTTCAACAATTATGGTACGTTTCAACTTTATTACAAGTTGTGCCAAGTTTTTTCCGACTATCGTTGGCTAACGAAGTTCCACGTTGTGGAAAGATCTCGTTAATGAGCAATATCTATCGATATATGTTAAAAACATTTTAGAAAAAATCTTTATATTTTTAAACCATTACTCTTCATTCATCGAGAACACTCCTAACGCCTAAAAATCCATACTTTTATTACCACTGATTATAAACGTCATTTAAGAATTTAAAAAAAAAAGCTACTAAAATATAATCTGTTCAGTCACTAACATATCAAAGTCACGTGTTTACTTCAGCGGTGATCGCAATGTTTCTGTGGTTGATACGAAGTTTAGCGGTCGACTGGGCCCGTTTAGCGTGACCGATAGAAACCCACAAATTGCTAAAAATCAACTATGGACGACAGGATTCTCAGAGTCTGACCGAGGACATTCCAGGTACAATATACGTTCTACGGGGTTATTTTCTTCTATTTGGTAGGCAAGGCAACTCACCCCTTGGAGGAAATAGGTCCACAGTTGGAAAAAGCATCGACTGAAAAAACGAAACTGAGTTTAAAGAAGGGGCCGAATTGTTTGAAGTATTGAATGTGTTAGTTAGTTAGTTTTTTTTTTTTTTGATAAGAACGGTACAATCGAGTTTCATAAACGTGCTAAAAAGTAAAGCACTCCAGAGGTGTGATAATTATAGTCATACTAATCAAGCTCTTTGCCCAAATGGGCGTAATAACTATCGCACGCGGTGGCATTTTAGGTTATGCACATTAAATGTTTGAGCCGCGCTAGAGAACGCAAATGATTTGCAGCAATTGAACCTATTTCTTCCTCTGTTGTGACAAATCTACTTTGCTCCGCCGATATGGGGGTGTTTTGTAGCAACAAGGAGTTGACAACCGCGTAACGTATACAATACGATATTGATAGTCCTCAAGAATTATACGAGCAAGTAGATCACTAATAGAAAAATACAAGTCTCAAACATGGAACCTGGTATTTTGTAGTTCTGTAAACAATTAAATCGATCGCTGTATGAAAATAATTGAAATTAGTCAACTGTTTAGATCTTTAAACGTTTCTAGAGAAATACTCAAGAATCATACGAACGGAAACCAGAAGAAACTTCAGCTAGGTTAAACATACGAAAGGGCGTCGCGTACGCCTCAATGTGTATAGGTCAGGCAGTGATCGAGACCGTTCGAACTGACTTACATGCCCTCGAGGTGTCCTTACTTTAACAGGTTATACATCAATCAATGCTCACAAAATGGGGCACAATCGCAGGAAGTGATTCTTGCTATCTGTGAATCATATGTGAAACCGGCAGTGTGTGGCCAAGCCAAGGCTTTCCTGGCAGACCTCATTCGGGATATGAGACGAAAGCGCCAAAATGGCGACGCTACCGTAGGAGCTTTATCGAAAATCAACCTTGCACTGCAGAAAATGATTCATGAATGCTATAAGTGAGTAACAACATGACCACTTTTTTATGCTAAGGCGCGAAGTTTAAGGGAATCCCCCTGACAACTTGGTGGCTTACCTCGTAACACGCGCAACATTTAGGGGGATTATTGTTATCGACTTGTTTTTACCTCAAATCTGCTCGGCAGCATCAAAGCATATTCTATAAAATTAGGGTGTATATATCTGTAGAGATTGCTGCTAGCAGAACACATGTGTGTTTGAGGGATACGTTAAATTTCCATACGTGATTGGAGGCAACACCAAACACCTGAACGTGTATGAACTCGTAGTACCACCTGGTATCCGTTTGCTTGGAGCAACGGCGTTTAATATGAGTCACATCGAATATTATTTTCTGTATGTTATCGAATAGACCTGGTATGGTTTTTAGTTATTTATCTTTTATATAGCTATATTAGCAGTTTTTAGCAGATCTTGGCTGTGAATTGCTCAAACTTCGTAAAAACGCTTCTCTCCAGAACGCTATACGCAGCCGCAAATGTCACCAAGCCCGATCTGATCCGACGCGACCTATATTACCTGGATTATGTAACTTTAGAAAATATTCTGTTGTCGAAGAACTATTGGTCATTTGTTTAGCTAAGTGGTTTTAACATACACGCATATATTCAAGTATTCTAATTATAAAAAAGCTCAACTTTCTTCTAAAAAATGCTTTTCTTTTGCATCTACGTATACTTTCTAACATTGCAGCTTTCATTAGTGGATCTGTCTTCTTACAAATGATCGTTTAGTTTGTACAGAGGTGCTGATTAGCTATTGAGCAGTTAACAAAGTATACTGAACATCAATAATTGAATACTCTTGTGCTACATGTTATACGTTGAAACCAAGCAGAGAAATAGAGCAACAAGCTTGTACCCATCAAATGGCGCTGTTGCTCTGCCACATCACTCCTTCAGAATCGGATCCTGGTTCTGTGGAGCTGACTGTACTGCATACTGGGGTCATGGCTTGCATAATAGGCGCAAAGGACAACGCTACCAATATTATTCAGGATTCCAATGTTCATTGGAATAAGTTCTGCTCATACGATGAGTGGAAACGGTCTGTAGAGGTGTGTACACGCATGTCTTTTTCTCGCTTCAGCATAAAGATAATCTATATTGACGCCCAGACTATTGCATGAGACATTCAGACGACATTAATATGCGCACGTACTCGAAAACTAAATAGACTTTCTTATGTTTTAAGAAAAAGCTCTGTCAGATTTAGTAGTGAAGGTACACAGGTGTCTTACTTGCAAACATTAATTCCCGAAGTGTTAAAAGTCACTTAAAGTGAGTTTAAAACGTGTAAATCTATCCTTAAATTGTCCTTAATTTACCTTTTCATATATTTCCTTTACGCCTAGGGGGGATTCTCTAGCCATAACAGAGAGGGGTGCGAGTTTCATCATTGTGAAGCAATTCCACAACCAGTGACTCGTACACTCAAGCTGAAAGTATGCGACACCTCAGTGATTCTATTCAGTACGTGTATGTTAACCGAAGCACTGAGCGCGGAAGACATCATTAAAGAATTCCACGTTACAACGGATACCGTTGCTGGTAAGTCTATGTAAAATTTCTTCTAGTTCCATGATGCATCGTCCATAATAGTAATAGTAAAAATAACTATTAATTCGTGACGTTTCAGGCGCGAAAAGATTAAATGATGCAGTTAGCAGCCTAGTGAGCGACCGAGGAACATCTGTAATTGCGATTGATTTGCGTCAGAGCAAATTACGCGCTGTTGCAGCTCCTCAGAACGATACGCAACAGGGAAAGCCGGTTCGGTCGCAAACGGCTACAAACGTTTCATATACGCAGATCCGACCCAAGTTGAGAAGCAAATGCGTGCACTTTCAGGAGTTGCCTTTACGTTCTAACTCTCTTTCGTCGACCGTGCATACAAGAGCGTCAATCGGAAACCAGGAAGTTAGGAAGCATAAAGACTTTTCACTGAATGTTCCATCACTTCAGCAACAACAGAGCTCGTCGCCTAGTATTACTTCAAAGCGGCACTGGCGACATAGCAAGTTGCTAAACGAGTTCCCTGAAAATGTCCAAGAAACATACAAAGCATGGGAATACGTACTTGAAGAGAATCATAAGATGATATTTAACCGTGAATTGGAAACGTTAGCGAGGCCTCCTCGTCGAACGTTAGCAGTGCCCAGCACTCAAGTTCAAAAATCACCATTACGTCGACATTCCTCTAGTGAATCGAGAGGTCGACTGTAAAGTAATACTAAAAGTGCACCGGACCGCTACTCATAGGCCAAGCCAGTTTGAAGATTTTCTACGCCCAAGTGCATGTCGTGTTAGGTTAAAAAACCCTGCCAAAACGAAAAAAAAAAAAAACAATTTGAAATGTAATATTTACTAAATAAATACATCAAAAGAAGAACAAAGTGACTTTATTTATTTAAATTATTTGATGCAAATCTTTAGCATCTTTAAACTTCTTGCTTTGCTTGGCGTCTACCCTCCACATTTTGGTTAACTTAGTTACTTATTCAATACCAGAGACTAAGGTATCTGAGGTAATTTTAACGTTAAGGTTGTTTGAATGTGGATGCTCATCCTGTAGTTTGCGTACCGCTGCAATGTTGCTTCATTTTTAGAAAATCTTGTCCACCTGCCCCATTTTGTATGTTTATAAAAAACCTTAATATGCACGTTCGCTCTATACAACCCTAATAGAAGAACAAGAAGAGTCTGAACGGGAATTCAGCAATATACATAGACCATACTGAGGTAATAACATTCGAGAACTTTAATGTTTAAACAAGTCGACACAAAAAAAAGTTGAATCTTAAAATTTGAATGTTATTATGTCGAGCAGACGCATTTAATATAATGACTAACTATTAATATACCCATTATAACTAGTAAAGCGAAATTTTTCGTTCATATTTATTCATGAACCGTCACTCACTCACAGTCTCAGGATAATTAATGCTTTAACCTTTGTATAGGGTATCATATTGTGTAACACTTTCAAGCTACCTATTGATGCCGGGTAACATTTCCTTTTTCAGGAGGAACAGATCACTCGACGTGTTTAAACCGGCTATCCGCTCTAGCCTGTGTGTCTGTCTAGTTTTAGATCCTGTGCCATTGCACGTGAAGATCATGTCAGAGTATTTTCTGATCCCTGCTTTTGTTATATAACAAACGTACAGTTAGAGCTATAAAACCTTCTTTTTTACAGCTTCTTTAGCTATGTTAATATGATTGGAGAAAAATTAGTAGAATTGACTTTGCTGTTAAGCATGCGAATACCATTATTCGTTTTTACACGATCAAAAAAACTAAGGGCCTCTAGCGATTTGTAACAGCACCCCCTAAGTACCCCAGTTGCCATTTTCATTATCGGCTTTTTATATTTTGCACGATTAATTTTTGTCATATATTACAATGAATTCCCGTTCGACGTCTATGTTAGTGTATGAGACACTGACATATTTCTATTCCAAGGGGTGAACCCGAGGTAGCGTTGTACTAAACGGTACATCCCGTTTACTATGTTTCAAGGATCGAGACCAAGCTTCTAGTGTATTTGTTATGAATACTGTCCGCTTCTGCTAATATAACGACTAATGTGTGATATCCCGTATTTTTTTTGTTTTTTTATATATTTATATATATTGTTGATGTGTGTGCCTGGGGCCAGCACTTGGCAACAATCAACTATGACTTTGTGTACACATAAATATAAAGCTCTAACTTTAAAGAGATTGTTTGCAGGTTGAATGTTTTGCGCAGAATATCGTGCTCAAGAGGACTGAACGCTTCTCTTGTTTTTATTTGCAGAGTCAGATCGTTGGAATATAAAGCTGTTTAGTTTTTCCCAATACTTTATTTTTCTAATATACCTGGAACATGGTGAGTTGTCGAAAATGTGGAATAAAATAATGCAATATGGAAGTTATATGTCTTTGCGAGGACCATTTGTGAGAACCAAAACCGTTATAGGCTACTATTAAAAAACCCAAATTTGTCTCGAATCTTCATATTTAGCTTTGTAGTGTGCAAAAACTGAGAACTCCCAATGATTCCTTGCTGCTTTCGCTTTAAAATAAACTTTCTCGTCAATTAAAAATGTTCGGTTTTGCTTTTTTACTAGTAGAGGATCCTGCATGTACATGTATTGATATTTAGGTAGAGTAGAAAGTTCCCATTGGAGGGTAACTAGGTGAAGGTTCCCAAGTTTATTACCTTGACGGTCACACATGTGCCTTGTTGTCTTCATTAAGTTTTTGTCGTTGGAAGTAGGGATTCGGTGCGTTCACTTATGAAACTCGAAGGGATACATGTCCAGTATTACATTTTCCACTGTTTTTATGCCGGGAAAGATATTGCCGAAACAAAAGGGATTGTTTGAAAAGTGAAGGCATTATATTACCGTTTCCTAGTAGAACACACTAATGCATCGAAGTCGTTTACCCAGTCACTTGCTTTATAAGTAGAGAAACCGTGGATGAATTAATATCGTGGAGAAGTGCTTAAGCAACACCTTGGTGTAGTCTTTACTTGATTACTTAATTAAAAAAAGGCCGGTTTTTGTCACTTAAAGATTAACTTGTGAGTGAGCTTGTGATGCCGTACCTGAATACCCGTCTACTATTCAGGCCAACGTTCAAAACACCTAAACGTGTGCGTCGTCTTTTTTTATGAAAAATAAAAATAGACTGCAAAAGAGGGTGTTCTGCGTTGGGAACTTAAGTCCTTACAAGTGGTCGCAATGCTATAGGCGGCTTTTTGGGACCAGACTATGTATCAAATCCTAGTGGAGCAGACAATTTCACGACAAACAAGAGAGTTCTAAAAACAAATCTTGACTCGAGGAACAAAAAAAAAAAGGAGAGTAGGCAAAGTAAAGCATGTCGTGCTTCGATTGCTGAATCACTTTAAAGTAGGTCGCAGTAGGGTTGGACTGTCACACGAGGTATGTCGGACAGTTTCGAAGGATCACTTATAGGTGAGAAGGTAACAAAAAAAAAGTTTCGAACAAACGCAGACCAATCGACAGCTTTTAAAGGAGAATGTTAACGCGCCCAAAGATAAATTTTCACCAACGCATTATTACAGATGATAAGACACAAATGTATTTGTGTGAGGTGGAGATAAGGCAATAATGGTGTAATTATATTTCTAAAGGCAAAGCTAAATTGAAGAAAGTCGCAGGATTCCGGTCAAAAACCGAGTCTGTTCTCGCTGTCCTTTTCGACTATCTCAGAGTGATATACTTCGAATTTCAACCGGATGGCTCTGCTTTCACCGAGGCTAAAAAGTTTTTTTCAACAACATTTCACAATGCTGGTCGTTAACGTGATCCTGAATTCTGTGAGACCTAGTGGGTTTTTCATCACGATAATACACTTCTATATAACTTTGTCTTCTTTACAAACCTGACAACCATTTCAAAGGAAAAAAATTTTAAACGATTGAGGAAATTCAACAAAAGGTAAGAGCAGAGCTGAAGTATATTTTCACGATTGACTTTGAATTGGGTAACTTTGAAGGGTGCAGCTGGAATTGTAAACCTTAAGGTATTTGCGGCTGGCATAAAGCCAAATAATCTATATAATGATAAATGATGTACCAATAATCTATGCTATATTCTCGATATGCATATACAACCTCTATAAATATGTTAAAATTTTCTGTGCATAAAAAGGTGGCTAAACCAGTGTCTTCAACTGACGAAAAAAAAATAATGTAATGTCAAAAAAGTCATGCGGATTATTAATTTTTGTATAAGTATGTAACCGGAATAAAAAATTTGATTTTTTTCGATAGAAATCAATGTCGATTTTAGAACTTGATCGTCACGTACATTCAAAATTTTCATATTCAGCTTATTTTAATAGAGCTCACTGTTTCAGCAGATTTGGAAAAACGAAATTTTGGCTAAATTTTATAAATGTGTGTCTCAATGACTGCGCAGCCGAGTAATTAATCCTGCTTATTTTTGGTACCTTTAATGATCATTGTGATTGCCGAAAAACAATAGACAAAGTAAGATACCAAATAACCGGTGCTTCTATGTAGATGACTGTTCTCCTCCTCATGACGGTGTTTACATTAATTGTATTGGCGAAGAGAATGTGTGACTAAAGCTATTGTTTGGCTTATTATAGTGAGCTCCGCTTTGCAGAAACATTGTCGCCGGTTACCATTGTTTTGGATCGTTTCACAATGAGGGAAAATCGGTTTGCGGACGTTTCTCTGGTCTTTTTCCTAGTGCTTTATTTCGTTTCCAATTTGATTTTGAATGAATAGTGAAAAATTCTAACAACTTATTACGATTTCTCTGCCGGTTTACACTCATGTATTCGCTCATTCTAAGGAGCCTATTCTCACCATATTTCTTCCCAAACTTCCTAAAAAAAAAAAAAGGGTTTCGACGGTTCTTCTTTTATCGTTAAAGGTTTTGCACGTCGCCGCAAAATGCGCCTGCAAACCTGCCTTTGCAAAACATGCTTAAGCAAAGATTCATTGGAGCTGCTACATTGTAGTAGTGAATATTTAACGTCACTATACTCATATTATTGTTTTGGCTATCCATATACGTTTGCGGAATTTCACAACGTCTTCAAGCGTTTCTTGACCTCGTGAAAGTTCATGACGGCCCGTTAGTGACGAAGTTAGATTCATTGCAATTATTATAATTTGCCAAGTTGTAATGTCACTAAATGACATTTACATCCGTTAGACGTTTTTGTAAAAGTCTAAATTGAAACTGCAAAAATAATGGGGGGTTGTCATCAGTTCTTAGTTTTATGCAAAGGAAAAGTGATTTTGCCCCTTCGTATATTTAAAGATGGTCTCTTCAAACTTGTATGCCTTTGCCTTCGCTTTTGAGCTCACATTATAAACTTAGACGTCAGTGCCGATTTGGGAAACAACTTGGTACATAGCTGAAGCACCCAAGTTGTATATTTGTATTCATAGATATTATGTTTTATCAATTCTCCCCTTATCTTACATACTCACCTAGATGCATCTAGTAACACGCTCAATTTCCCAGTAGAAGTTAGTGGCGAATATTGCGGCTCGTTCGCCAAACAGAGATTTCCCTGTAAACTTTAAGGTCATAGATCTCTTCTTTGCTAAGCCTGTGTTCCACATTGAGGAGACGTAAATTAAATCAGGAAGAATGTATTATCAATACAGTTGTATGTATAGTTTAGGATCTTGAAAAACAAACTCTCCCATTATATGGTAAGCTTTTCGTGTGGCAGTGGTTTCAACTTCGGTGTATTTAAGAAAAGTGGAAATGCAGCAAGGTCTTTCATAACTGAGATACCGTGGGTAACTTGTCCCACGAACCA